CCAAGAGATGGCAGGGTGAAGTCCCCCAGTACTATAAGTCTGGGGGACTCAACTGCCCGTCCCACTACTGACTCTAGGAGTGCAGGCAGGGCTGTCGTTGCGCAGCTGGGAGGTAGGTACGTCAGAAACTAGCCCACTTGACCTCCCAGATCCAACTTCACAAGGAGGGACTCACACCCGACAGTCTCCGGAGCAGGGATCCTGCGAAGAACTAATGATTCCCGGATAATAGCTGCCACTCCCCCACCCCTTTACTGGTGTCGTGGTTGGTGGAGCACCTGAAACCCTTCTGGGCACATTTCTGAGAGGGGGACTCATCCCTCATGGGCCAGCCAGGTTTCAGTAATACATGCCAGGTCTGCCCCCTCGTCTAATATTAAGTCCAGGACGAGGAAAGCTTTATGAATAACAGACCTGGCATTTAGCAACAACAACCTGAGACCAGAGCCTTGACTTCCCTTGTCACCTGGTCCTTGAGATGAGCTCACAGGGCTGGAACAAGGGATCGCTGTGACATAGCGAACCCTCCTTTCCCGGTAATGGCTAGCCCTGCAGCTCCCGTCGTACCTGCCCCTCCCAGTCATAATCATAATGCTCCGGCCTGCCCCCATCCCCGTAGATCCCCCCTCCTCCCATGGTCCTCGTTCCTCTCGGCAGGCCATTCATATCATACGCTCTGGGATGAGAGGTGGGTCCAGGCCCTCACCCACTTCTGCTTCTGCACTCAGTGGAGGGGGCCCCAGGCCGCACTCTCAATCCCCTCATACATACCGGCCAGGCATTCTCCATATGCATACCCCACTATAATATTAAAAATACAACAATACAATAAAATAGAAAATGCAGTTAAATTAATTTTAAAAAATGTGGGATCACTCAATCACTCAATCACATACATACCACAAACATTCCACGTACAGAAAGTTGCGCAGCTGTTAAAAAATTGTGCAAAGTTGATAGGTGGAATCATAAAAGTTTAGCTAGATAAAGGTTAGCAATGATATGGAGGGAAGATAGTTCGTCTTCCCTCTTTCCTGTGCGGTAGGATGGTGTAGCAGGGGGTCCAAAAAGTCTGAAGGGGCTGTAGTGGCATCCCTGAGCAGCAACGGGTGGCAGTGGTCACACCAGATGAGACCAGTCGTAAGTTCAGAGTCCAGCAGCCGTGAGCAGAGGGAGCCAGATGACAAAAGGCCCCGTGACTGTGAGGGCAAACAGAGGAGAGGCCGCACCGCAGGGAAGGCCAAGTTAGGTGGAACGGAGGGGGTAGGCGCCCAAAAGGGTCACAGCGGTAACAAAGCCAGCTGCCTGATCTCCTCCAGCGCCATGCCAGGCCGACCACCCCCTCTCTGGAATAGTCTAGAATAGTCCAATGCAGTCCGAATGTAGTCTGAAGGTCACAGGAGCAAGGGCAGGAGATGTCGCAAGTCCATCCCCTTCCTCTCAGAGAGTAAAAGCATTCCAACAGTCAACTACCCTCCAGGGCTCCTCCCGGTCAGAAGAAGAAGCAGGGCTAAAGCTGTAAAAATCTGCCAGGAACGGCGCCGTCAACGTGGTGCCGCCATGTTCGGCATTTTCGCCGCCGAGCACTGTCGAAATTGGTACGGGTGGCCTCATGGACTGGGGGTCGCCCGATAGCGGCGACCCCCTAAATAACCAGCTATTTGGGTCCCCCGGATTGTGCTCTACTGCTAGGACCCCTCTCCGCATGATCTCAAAGCTCAGCTGTTAATATTTCTGGTGCTCTTTCTCTCACCGAGACCGGAGCGAAGGAGGTTGACGGCCATTCCACCTCGCACATGCGCATGTCATTTTCTTCTTTATTTTTGAAAAATCTAACAGGAATCCATAAAGGCTAGCAATAAATCCATCAGGTAAATTTAATCTCCTAGGTTTAATGCCAGGGTGGATGTTCAACACACTATTCTATGGTTTTCAGTCCAATGGTGCTTTAGGTGCAATTCAAACTGTTGTCATCTCTAAAGTCATAGTTGACATAGAACAGTATTTTTCAACCCAGCATGTATGGACTTTGATGCTAGCTGGGGAATTCTAGAAGTTGAAGTCAACAAATCTTAAATTTCCTATGGTTAAGGATATATGTATGTATATATGTGTGTGTGTGTGTGTGTGTGTGTGTGTGTGCATGTGCATGTGCATGTGCATATGCAGATAGATAGATAGATAGATAGATAGATGATAGATAGATAGATAGATAGATAGATAGATAGATAGATAGATAGATAGATAGATAGATATGTCTAAGTGTTGTTGCTATTGCTGTTGCTCTACATAATAGCAGTGGTGTTTCTAAATTCTTTATATCTAAAGACTTTATATAATTTTTGTTTTTTCTCTTAAAAGAGAACACAACAATTGCAAATCAAAGGAGGAACTTCCCAGCTTCATTTTGGACTAGTTCTTATCAAACTCCACCTCCACCATCTTTAAGTGGAATTCATCGTGATTTTCCCATTACTATACCAAGCACCTTTTCAGTAGCAGATCCTAACAGCTGGCCAGGACATACGTTGCATCAGACTGCTCCACCTCCCTCATCTAACATGCCAGAGTCTTGGCATTATCCTTTAGCATCCCAGGTGAGCTCTTCATATGGACATATGCATGATGTGTACATGCATCATCATCATCCCCATGTACACATGCATCATCACCATCATCCAACTTCACATCTCGACCCACGGTACAGACCTTTGCCAGTGCCCTCAGTTTGTGGAGGCAAGATTCCTCCACTACAGTGTGATGCAACAAAGTCAGATCCTACTACTGTCAGCTGTGCTACCTCAGCTTGGGCAGGAGCCTTTCATGGGACAGTTGATATTGTGCCAACATTTGGATTTGAAACAGGTAAGCTGGAATTAGCTTTTGGATATCTACAAATATTTCATAACATGTATGACTTATAGGCCTTAAATTATTGTATTTGCATTCTTATTTATTTTCCAGAGTTCAAGATGGTGTTAGGGTTCCAAATAACATCCAAAATTAAGTCAGAGTCCAAAGCAAAGTATTGCTCTAAGTTCTAATTTATTAATAGAGTCATGTTGGCACATCTGGAAAACCTGAATCTGAGCCTCCTGGGTTTTCCTCACCCAGTTGAGAATTTATGATCTTGCCCCCCCCCCCCCACAAACACAAGTCCATCACATGGTCCAATCTTCCACTGCCATGCTGGTGGTTCCACTCATCCAGTTCTGGTCAGGTCAGAGTTGTAGAGACAAAGGATGACCTTGGATTCTAGAAAGGAATTTTATTTTGACAACATCAAATTCTAGTCCTTCCTATTTCCCTTCCCAAATCCCCGCTAATGAAACAGCATAGTAGAATAGAATATTAGTGTGGCAGGCCAAATATTCCAAAAGGAACTGTCTGCAGGCGTGACAGATGGTATACTTGTTTTTTCCTATTTTATCTTCATAAAACTCTAAGACATGTTAGAAAATATTAATTGGCTTAAGGTCACCAAGAGCCTTTAAAGTTGAAAATTTGACTTTCATAGTCCATGTTTAACATTTTTGTTTATTAGTATAAGCAGTTGTAATGAAATTTGTTCCTTAATCTTGCTCAAGAATAGGACGATCTAAAATCACATACTGTAGACCTGAAGGATGTTTTTAAAAAATTCAATAATATGTCAATCTTTTCCCAAATAAATCAACATACACTATCAATTTTACTCAAACATTATTAATATAATTATGTATTTATTCTTATAAGTAGGAGGGTTTCTTGTTAAAACTAAATTGCTTTTTCTGACTTTTGGCTTTGAGTTTGGAAAATTCATAATCTTTAGTCATTAGTTTAGTTGAGATCTGGTTTCAGACTTGACATTGCCATAATTCCCCGGAATGTTAAGTTACAATTTCGATTACAATTAACTGCCTTATAAATATACAAACCAAATTCCATTGTGATAACTCAATATTTGGAGTACATATTACATTAATATGTTTTCTGCATTTGTGGAAATGTCAAATTGTTACATTAAACCAAAAACTTAGTTGTTGCAATCCAAACATATAACATTATTGTTAGGCCTATTTTGAATCAGTCACTTAAAATAACTTCTTAAATTTACAACTTCTAAGAATGCTGAGTTCAGATGTTGTCCTTCAGTAGATTTGACTGCATTATGACTATTGAAATGTTAAATTTGATGCAAACTACTGTTTGAAATGTTGATCTGCAAACTCATTCAAAGCTTTTCTAAATGTCCTGTGACATTAACCCTTAAAATATTTTTTTCAATTCATTTTAACATGATTGTTAAAACAATCATCATTTGTATAATATTGTTTATGTTTTGTGTTATGAACAAATAACTAATTATCACTTGTCAGACATGCCATGAATTAAAACATGCATGGAGTTGTGTGATCTATATACCAAGCTTGTGTTGTTAGAAAGATCTAAGATGCACAAACATTTGCTAGAGTTATCAAACTATTGAAGTACCAGAGTTGGAATAACAGGAGATAACTCTAATGAGATGGCTCTTCTAGTTATTGGCATTTTGTTACATAGAAGCTGAAATTTTCAGAACTCCACTGCATTTGCTCAATTTGTATGCCTTAATTATTCCTATGCTGTATTATGTAGCAGATGATACAGGAGAGTTCATTCAAATTATTGTGGAAGTTGTACCTTCTGCTTGTGACTGGCATAACTCATTTCTGACAAAATATGAATTATCATTCACTAAATTGTGAAAATTGTGAAGCTCACTAAACTGAACTTTTAAAACCTGGTATCTGCTGTGTATCAACTTAGCCTAGGCCATGTATTCCTTTCCTTCCCTTCCCTTTCCCTCTCATCTTGTTCCCTACCTATTAATGGATAGTAGATCATGAAATTTCAGTCCATAGAAACTATGTCACATTTAAAGAAAATAATCTTTGTTTGGTCTTGTGCTCAAAATAAAACAGCTATCTTTTATTTTGAGATGATTCCATTAAAGAAATGATAGAAAACATGTAGAAATGTATATTGTAAAATCCTTTACCAATTAGCAGTATTTGGGAAAAACATAATGATGACTGTTTTTGATGAATATGTGTTATAGTTCATTTTTCATGAATAAATCCATAGGTTCATTTGGCACTATTGTAAGCAAATATTTTTCTCCATTAAACATCAGTGGATGTTTATTTCAAGATTTCTATATGTTATGGCAGGAAAATATGTTAGATAAATTTTATCACTTTAAAATGATTTTCATTTTTTAAATGTTTGAAATAGAACCTAGAATCCGGCAAAATAATTATCTGAGGGAAGGGCAAAAACAAGTAACAATTTGGATCCATATTAACTGCATTTGACTTTCTCTTTTTTGTTTTCTGTACTAGTGGCTGCAAACTAGCAATCTTTATTTTCACATTTGCATTTATGTAATGGTAGAGTCAGTTGCTTGATACTTGCAGCCTCAAGAAATTAAAAAAATAGCACAACTAGATCTTTTAAAAGCCTAGATGATTTTATGGCAATTAATAATGTTTCCATCTATAGTGATGAAACAATAATAATTACATTTCATATTTTGAACTTAATGTCATTACCTGCTATGATGTCATCATCTGCTAAAATAAGCAGATTACTCTTTATGGAACCTACTTTTTTTTGCAAAGTATAGTATATTTTTTACTAGACTTGAGTTTTCAATGAAATTTGTCTTGATTAACCTATAGAAGAAAAGGTGGCTCAAATATTATACTCTATATTTTTCTTCTTCTTTTTGCCTAGATTATCACTCAGACCACAAAAATAAAAATAAAACATTTTTAAAGCTCTAATTTTAAATGAAAAGTCAAAACAAAACAAAACAGAAAATGCAGAACTATTATTTCACGGAGGAAAGAAAATTGGAAGGGCAGAAGGTCATCTCACTGGCTAGCTGTACCCTCACATGTGATAGCTTTAATATAGCCATAATGTATACTTTAAACACACTAATAATCCAGTGTAGAGAGTTATGGCTTTGTGAGAGTTATGGCTTTGTGCTTTCAAGTTGGTTAAAGAATCAATTTAGAAAGTATCAATTTAAAAAGAATAGGCTCCTCCTTCCATTCCAAGAGAGTTTGCATTATTCACATTACTGAGATTGATAATGTCAAGTTCATGAGTCATACCTACACTTGTGACTTCTTAGTCTAAGAACATAATTAATTAAAGTGTTAAAGCTGAATCCAGTTTCTTACGGTAGTATGCATATAACTTATTTTACATGGTGTGCCAAATCTTGTTTTAGATTAGAACTTGGGTTATGGCACCTTGGTTATAGCAGTGGAACCTGGATTATGGCACAAAAAAGCTAAATAGGTATAACAAAGTATATGATAAATATGACTTTTTAAAAATATAAAACTTTTTTATATAGGCTTTATTCTTTTTTTTTTGGAGGGGGAAATAAATTTGTATATATCCAACAGCTAACTGCATATGCATGTAAGATCCAGCCTTAAAAATGATGTTGCATAATGGAGAACAGTCTCCAGGACATATTTGGCCTTGAAATGGTGTTAGTGATGCCTGTTTTATTTTAGCCAATATGACTAAATGGATATTACATAATGATAAAATCATTTCATGAATAAGCAGGAAATAAGGTTTACACATCCTTTTTCCATCCTCTTTTCAATGAGGATCAGACTTGTTGAGTTGTGAATATATGGCAGTAGAAGATGGGAATAACATTTGTTCATTTGTTACGTTTATCCACTGTGTTTCCTCTTAAGGCACCATACATGACTTAGAGTTCCATTTTTTATTGGTAAGACTCCTGTGAGTAAGATCAGGTGGAGAGAATATAATTGGCTTAAGGTCATTCTGATTCTATTTCCTTTTTGCACTTCTATGATTTATTGTTAAAAAGTCATCTTATCCATTGTTGTTTCTCTCCATTAATAAAATGGCATGGAGTCTTCGTTCTGCAAGGAAAATTCAACAATCAATTCACCCAACTTATTGCTTGCATTATTATGTCATTGCACCAACCTTCCATCATTATCCAACTTTATTGGCAATTTTTAAACATAAAAATATAATAAATGGGGTATCATTCCTTTTCTTTTCTGTTCAAATGTGTATAATTTTTCTAAGGCTGAGGATTGGAGCTAAACAGGAATGGTAAAGGGTGAAGTATCATGATAGAGTCTGGATATTAGAATAATTTGAAAGCACAATTGCAATAGTTTTAATTGTAGTTACAAATGAATATATATTATTTACAAGTCCTATATATCTTGCAATATTTTCAGGCAGGACTTATTTTCAGGGGAGTGCATATTTTAATGCATGCACTCAAAAGCCGGAATGTGTTTATTATCCAGGAAGGTCTTATTTTCTGTTTTTCACATCTTAATCTCCTGGGTGATGTTGAAAAAAAAAAAGATGAATCTGCTGGTAACACATTAGTTTCATAATAACTTTGTTATGCTACAGAAAATTTGAGGAGGCATATTTCTCTGGTTATGGTACATTCAGTAATTTTACATGACACTGAGTGCTGGCCAACCATCAAATGCTATATAGATGCAATAGAGATGTGCATACTTCATTGAGATTTGAGATTTTATTAATATTTGTAGGCCGCCCTTTTCCCTGAGGGGACTCAGGGCGGCTCACATAAAATCGGGGAAGGGGA